TTCTCTTTCAGTAAATGAGTAAATTCTGTGAGTTATCATTCTATAAAACTAGCCTGTGGTGTACATAACGGCTTGCAAGTCGTACAGAAGCTTTCACTTTTATAAAATCACTAGCAAGTTGAAAGCTCTAAAGCACCTGCCAGCTTTGTTAGCCACAATATCTTGCTCTTTCAGTGTTTGAGTATTTTCTGAGCGTAATTTTCTAACAGAAAATAATTTTACCTTTCCCTCTTATTCGCTGAAGAGGTCGTTGTACTCACAATTTACTCATTAGCTGGAAGCAGCAGCGCATGAACCGCCATATTTGCCATCAAATGGTTGATATTTTAAGTTTTACATTTTTCCATGTTTCTTTCTCACAACACGCTACTCATTCACGCTAAGTTTAGGCACCTCCCTTCCGACTCAAACCAGTAGCACCTTCGCTTCAACGCCAGCCATGAGCTAACAAATTCCGTTGCGCATATGTATGAGTGCATGTGTACCTGTGTGTGAACTTATATGCTTATTTCACATATGAATTCACACATTACCATTTCACACCTCTCTGCGCAGCGGCGCGGCAGCGTGTGCGACATTACTACTGCTGCGGAAAGCTTACTCATAGCTAAAGTTAGCGAAAAAAAAGTCAGGTAATTTGGATAACAGTGAGAAATTGAGATATTAGTTGACGCAACGTGGTAGTTAATTTTAGCGCAAACGGCAGGCAGGTGAAAATAAATTTCAACAAATCCCAGCTGGCATATAAATTCGATAGAAGAAACTGTAAAAATTATACACGCGTGTATTTTTAGCGGATCCAGCGAAAATAGCTGATTAACTTACCCTTTAGGGGCTAGTTGTTATGACGCGGCGGCGGTTCTCTGCCGTTGCCACCTCATTGCGTTTGCAGAACCACTTGGCTTCTATTCGTGGCTTGGCAGTTGTATGTGTGTTTGTGTATGTGCTGTGTCACATCGATATATTAATTTGCTTAATTAGCGGCAAACTGACGCATGTCAGCGTGTTGGATTGGATTAATAAGCAGTGTGCTAGTTGAAGTGACAGTCAGCCAACAGACTGACAGTCTGCAGACAAATTATGGTTGGTGGGGTGTTGTGCACTTTCCATAGATACATATGTACATATTAGTCACAGCTTGTTAGCAATACTTTTTTTTTATTTACCTGCTCGTTGTCTGTAGTTTACGCGTTGGTATTTTTTAATTAGCAAATACCTGGTTGCTGGCAACTCTGGCAGGTGGCTGTGCTCATTAAAATAATTAGTTGAGCAGAGTAAAGCTTTTTCGCAGACTTTAACTGGTACTTACAGAACTTTATTTGTAATGCTGAGGCTAGGCTCAACATGAGTTCTGTTCTTTGCAAATTCGTCAGCTACTCTGGGCTGTAGGCCTCGGGGGTCATAATATAAGTACTAACTCGATGGAAAGACAACATACATATCTCCAATATCCGAAAAGCAAGAGTAATAGTTCTTCCGTTATCGAACTCCAGCAACTTTGCGCTACTTGGAGACTCGTAAGTTCTGAGCTCTAGACTTCAGAGGAGGTATAAGTCATAGTATACAAACTCGGTGGAAACCTGAAACTCGAACTCGATGGATACCTGAACTGCAGGAGAATTACTCCTCTGCTGTCGAACTCCAGCTCCTTTTCGGTATTTGGACTTGTAATCCGAAGAATTGAGCACAAAAAACAAAAAAAAAAAAAAACAGCTCAGATTACTTTTCCTTCTCTATATCTTTTTGGAACTTAAAAATCTTTTTTTTTTCAACTGGAAGATCTGCTATACGCTACAGCTCTAATATTTTAATTCTTCGGAGTCGAAAACCATGACACTGGATAGCATTTGACTCGAGAGTACCCATGCGTCATTGCTTTGGAAAACCTACGGAGGTATTTTTTACAGACTGCTATGAGCAGAACCTAAGAATATGAAATCCAAGCAATAAACTTTGGATCCGAACACTTTCAATATTCTACAAACAGAAACACGAGACTCATTTTAATGCAGCTAAACTCATCTGAGTCATGGTTATGGAGCTGGTGCTAATATTTTTGACTACTGACTTCAGGATGAGACTCGGGAGTCATTACTATAGTACTTACTTTTTGACTGCTGATCTCAGAATGTGATTTGGATCATCTGGAGTGCTGGTTGTAGAACTCAGATCATCTTGTAGAAATTCGGATCATCTGGAGCCATTGTTGTATAGCTCTTGTGGAGTGTATTTTTGACTACGGACTTCAGGAACGACTATAGTGAAGGTGCGAAATATGAAATTCTCCGAGCTCGACGATCTTATTGTCGGAAACTTTTTAATTAGTAGACTGACAGCTTCAGGATAGACCATGATGATAAAGGACTACAAACGAATTTGACTTTGAAATTACGAATTTTTTCAGCCGCCTAAGTTCGACAAGCAGACTAAAAACTTTCAGACTGAAAAAGGAAAGCATTCAGGTGGCATCTGGGCTTTTAGAAATTATAAATTTGACTCTTTGATGTTAATTTATAATCAGATTGGATTACATTTGGACTGAGCTTTAATAATTTATGGAGTATTTCAAAAGAGACATCCTCCGATGAGTTACTTGGAGTTCTTCTTCTTTCTTCTTTTAATAAATTTCGTGTCTCACCTGACATAACGTAACTTTCCTCAGTAATAAAAATTAATATTCTTTGTTTCTACAACGACCGAGTCGCAATTTATAAGATTCATATAATTTTTTATTTTGCGCTTTGCGCCCTTCGCGCTAGCAGTTAGTTTCTGGCAAATACTACTCATATTATATTGTATTTATTCATAAATTTGCGACAAGCACTCATCCAAGCAATTTCACGCCTACTAAATGCGACATATGAGGCTTATTAGAGGCGCTGCTCAAGCCAAGTCAAGCCACGCCAAGTCACGCCGGCGTCATTACCACTTGGCTGCGTACGCCGCAGCACCCACATGCAGTCGCATATATAACTACATATATGCATACATATATATGTATTCACTTCTGGTGATGTAGCTGTGCGCATTTTCGCCCGCCAGACAGCTGGAGAGGCAGCCGAGCCATCTACTATTGCGCCTTTTGCGCTGCAGCTCATATTCATAAGCTCTCCGAAGAGTATTCATAGGCTGCTTTGTGCTTTGTATCTAAAATTCCATGACAACAACAGACATTGTTGCTTTACCAACTTGTTGTTTTTGTGTGTTTGTGCTCATTTGCCTACGCGTATTGTTGTTGTTATTGTGCTACTTTTTCGTTTTTGTTTTTTTGTTTTTTTCTTTTCTTTTTTCGCATTGCACTTTCGCTATTGTTTCTGTTGTTGTGGTTTGCTCTAAGTTAGCCTACTTCAGTGTCTTCAAAAAGCAACAACAATAACGACAACAACCGCAACGAGCTCAAAGACGAACTCACTACTTACGCACACATACACATCTACAGACATTTTGAAGCATAGACATTGAGGCTCGTTCAAGTGCACCCAATGGATCTTATGTGTGGCTAACAGAATAACAATGTTATATATGAAACAAAAAAGCTAGAAAAAGTGTAAAAAAGCACGATTGTGCAAAAAAATTGCAAAAATAACGCAATGCTCAGATTAATATGCCAAAGTCTTTGCTGCATGCCTGCGGGCTGTACAACGGCTCTGCGCGGCCAACGCTGCCCCCGCAGTGTCTTTTAAGATTTCTAATTAGCTGCGTTTGCACTTATGGTCATGTCTGTCCTCTGCTTCTCCCCCCTACATTCCGCCTTCGTTTGTGAGCTCAACATTGTTGCGATTTTGCACTTGCAAGTGCTGCGGACGGGGGCTGTAGTGGGGTTATCTCTTTTAAATTAGGATTCTTAAGCAATGTCACTGTAGAGCTAATAGAGAGTGACAGTGGGCCACTGTGGCTAGATCTTCTGATATAATATTTTATGCAGCAAAGTTGTGTGGATCAGGAAATCTCTTGGTTTCTTTGCATCAATGTTGTGTGTGGTGGCACATACCGTCTTTTTTCTTAATAGCTTCGAATAGCACTATATCTAGACTAACGTCTTAGGGGTATTAGTCGGGTCGGAGTATCAGATTCGGGTATCTATAGCCCTTATTGGTTCTTCGTATCAGTTTGAAGTTATGAATCTCCAGTTTTAAGTGTCTAAATTTAAAAGGCTTGATACACTTCATCTAGTTTCTTTTCTTGCTAGTCCTAGTACGACACCTAAAAAAATTTTTTTTTTATATTACCAAAGACTGTTGTATTCGGACTAGTGAAGGGGAGAGAGGTGAAGATCGGGGACAATTGCTTTGGAGCCTGGAGTCTTCAGCGGACCCGCTGTTCAATAGCAATGTTTGCAGATTTTTTCTCCAACAAGTACCTACAATCATTACCGGGACAGGTTTTCTCTCGAAGTTCATGATTCGGATTAAAGTATACAGTCCATACAAAAAGCAGGGAGAAGAGTCGAACTGTGGAAAACTTCAATTATATCAGATCTGTGGAGCTTCGTGAGCTATCGTAAATATTTATTGGTAGGATTGGACGGTTTGTCTACGATGCTTGTGGATAGGACAAAGTATTTACAAAAGTGGTTTAAAGTACAACTTGAAAGGATTTGAAAACTTTTCTAAGGATTTGGTTCTAGTACATAAATCCGACTATCTTGGAACGTACTTAATTTTTCGTTGAAATGAGTGCTCGTTGAATTTTTTTAGGGTCTCTAAGTTAAAATAATTCATCAGTTCTTCAGTACACAATTTCTGAAACTTTTTTCATACCGCCGTTACCTTTCCGAGACCAAAGCTTCTAATAAACCTATGATCGACGGCAGCCAAAAAGCATGACCCGCTTCATCAAAAAATCAGAAATATGCGTCAATTCACGTTGAGAAAAAGTTTTCTTTGAGCTCGAGCAGGGGTTAAACAACTTTGAAAGTCGCTTAACCGAGTTTTCGCGTCGAAAACATACCACAGAATTCTGCAACTAAAAATATGATCCAAGTCTAATCTCTCACTCACCCGCAAATTGACTGCCAAAATGCTGCTGAAAGTGTCCGCGAAACTCATGCGGCGTGCTGAAGCCCGGCGGCAAAAAGCCACGCAAGTACGCCGCTGCTGCCAACGTCGTCATGTGATGATGATGTGCCGCATTCAGTTGCCCCGCATGGTCGGCATAACCGGCTGCTGCATAAAAGTTCGCTGGATTGAAAATAGGCAGTTGACAGTGCGCGGTAGCGGCCGCCGCAGCAGCCGCCGCAGATAGACGCGTCACATCGGGCGATATGGAACGGGAATCGCGTGTCGGGCGACCGTGCGAAGAGGCAGGTGAGAGTGGCGCATTATTGCATTCAGTGGTGGTGGGTGTAGCGGCGGGTGGTGGTGGTGTGCAATTTGTTGTAGTGCCGCTATGCCGCTGCTGCTGTTGCTGCTGCTGAGCTTGTGAAGTAGGTGATTGTTGTTGTTGCAATTGTAATGGTTGCTGCTGCTGCTGACTGTGTTGCAGCTGTTGTTGTTGTTGCTGCTGCTGCTGACTGAGCTGCTGCGCCTGCTGATAGTTGGCGGCAGCAGCCGCAGCCGCCGAGCCTACACCCAAGCCGAGTATCTCCTGTATGGCGAAGGGCGTGCGCATTTTCGTTGCTTGCATTTTTGCCGACGGCAAATTTGTTGCGCGTGTAACTATTTAAGCGTGTTGTTGCTTAGTGGATTTTTAAGCACTATTTGTTTGTTTACTATTTTGTTACAGTGTACCACCGCAGTTATGTTTTGATATTTAAAATTCACTTCAGTTTTTTCTGGTCATATTTACTTAAGCGTTTTTTCTTCTTAAATTGCACTGGTGAACTGGTTGCTAAAACGGAAATATTTTTAAATTTTGGAAATTTATTGCAGTAAATATTTATTTTGATTTTATTTTGCATAATTAATATGATGTTTATGTGTTATATGTTTTAATTACA